CTCCTCCGGGGCAGGCGGGGATCGAACTCATGCAGAAGTGGCTTTAGCTTCTTAGTGCTGTGCTTTAACCCGCTTCACCACCAGGGAGGGCCAAAACTAGCTAATTTTTAAGAAAAGAAATATAAATGAAAACAGTGAATACGTCTTAAGTATTTCTCACGAATGCCTTACAAAGAAATGAACTCAACGATTTTTTTGTTACATCTTTTCGCTTTCTCTCCAGTGATTGGAAGAGTTTCATATCACTGTTACTAGGAAAATGCCATTACCTTTCTACGTTAATTAAAATGTTGCCCTTGTTTCAAAATTCTGTGTCTCTATGTAGTAATTCTTAAAAGGACTGTTTCCAAGACATCTTTTTCACCTTAATTGTGGGTAAGAGAAATTAATAGCCATCGTTATTCATAATTGACTTCAAGAAAATTATGAGTGAGTGCCATACTTTTTCAAATTTATGAAAGAAAGTTAATGATATAATGGCATGTTATTGAGTTCTTACAAACCAAGACCATGCCTTGAATGCTGATTTGCTTGTTGTACTCTGTGAAACTAGTGGCATGAGAAGTTTCTTTGACTTGAACAATACATTACATATTTTGAATTAAGAAAGATGGCATTAGTATTGAGAAGGGCAGAGGTAGAATAAGAATTTAAATTGATTGAATGTTTTTCTTTTGATCAAGAGCAAAAAGGAAACTAATTTTACTGGCCTGTGAAAGCAAGATATAGTAAACTGACAGAAATCTATCAATTAAAATTCCCTGGAAATCTGAAAAATCTGTTTTGTCACCTTCTCTGGTAGGGAGAACTAATTTGGGATAAATGTGTCGTGCTACTTGAGACTAGGATGGAGAAATTTTTGTTTACATTTACTGTTTGTGACATATAGTTGTCTATGAATGTTATAGAAACTCTCTTTTAAATGTAACTCCTAACCAAATAGCCAATAGAGTTTAATTTAAGTGAGATACTCTGTTTTGTATGTCCCAACATGAGCCATTGTCATTCCTCAGCCTTTTTACTTTTGCTGTGAATTTTTTTTTAAAAAAAGATTTATTTATTTATTCATATAGAACTGGGGTACAGGCCAGAGATGCAGAGGGTGAGAGGATTCACCACAGACAGAGCAGGGAGCAGAACAGGCAGATCAACGAAGTACACTGCTGAGGGGAGCAGTGAGGGGGGGTCAGGAGAGGTCTGCCTCCCCATGTGGATCTCCTCTGGGGCAGGCGGGAATTGAACTCATGCAGATGTGGCTTAAGTTTCTCAGTGCTGTGCTTTAACCCGCTGTGCCACAAGGGAGGGCCGCTGTGAACTTTTATTTTGCTTTTTCCATTTAATTTTAACATTAATTGAATTCATCTTTTATAATTACTCTTGTCCTAATCTTGGACAGCACTTATTTTATATTTTAGCATTTTATTGTGAATATCTTTATATCTTTTTCAAATTGGTGGGTGTTCTGTTTTCTGTTGTGAAGAAATAGTTCTCCCTCATTCTGTGCCTACCTAGTCTCAGTTGAGATAGCTAACTGCTGTGCCTGCTACCCTTTTATCCATAAAATAGAGGCCCCATTCCTTTTGTCTTTATGTTGATTATCCTAAAGACTATCCAGGCTTTCCCCCATTCTCTCTCCCCCACACCCCAAGTGCTCAGTAGTAGTGGAACTGAATTTCAGGCAAGGTGTGTGCTTTATTACTTTGTGTTATCTGTGGCGCCCAGCATAAAGCCAGGTAAAGAACACATTTAATTAATCCTGTATTTGTTAGTTGATTAATTGACAAGAAACAAAATGTTGAGTTGTACTCTGTGAGCTGAAATATGCTATTGCATCAGACAGTTATATTTTGCTACCATATTTTTGTAGCTATAAGAGAGATGCTGAGAATCAATCAAAGAGATGCTGAGAAAATGCATATCTAGGGTATAGTCATCATTTTCTATTGGATTCCTACTGTAAAGTGATAATTTTAAATTTTATGGATTATTTTTGTAGCTTTCCTAACATAAAATTTTAATAGTATTTCTGATTCTCTGTCAAGAGGAGATTATTTTTCCTTTTCCTTTCCCCCCAACTTCTGTTAGTTTTTCCCTTATTCTTACTTTGATAGTGTTGAATGTTACCATTTCATTCTGTAATCATATGTAAGTCTTTGGTGTTTTGTAGACTCAATAGAAGTCTAAAAATGAAAGAGTTGGAGCTTTCCCTTGTGACACAATGGGTTAAAACACAGCACTTCAAAGCTTGTGCAGCAGCTTCAGCACAAGTTCAGTCCCTGCCAGGAGAGTGAGCTACACGGCACAGCAGATCTCTTCTGTCTCACTTGCTGCTCCCCTCAGCAGTGTATTTAGTCAGTTGGCTTGTTCTGTGCCCCATTCTGTCTCTAGTGAATCCTCTCACTGCATCTGCACCTCTGGTCTGTACCCCAGTTTTGTATGCATAAATAAATAAACCTTTAAAAAATATATACAAAAAAATAAAAATTAAGAGTTTACATTTTATGCAAACAATAAATACTGTTTATAAAAGGACCTTACCAGGGTGCTGTGATTGTTTTTTTTCTCATTTTGGTGCAATGTCATGTGTATTTTTTCCATCTTCTTGAAACCTATAGGAAAATGTATTTATTAGCTGGGTCAAATGGATTATCTTTTTTCCCAAATTATATATAATTGTTTGCTTATGGTCATTGAAATAAGTCTTAATGAGAGGCAAATAATTTATTAGATAATCAAAGTGAGAGTTCAAAACCAGGAAATAGGTACATTAATTTTACTGTGCAAGAAATGCTCCTACAAGCCAAATTTGTGTTCAGTTTAGATACCTTGTTACAGAATAGCATATATATGGGAGAAGTAAAGAAATGGTGTGTCATTGACATTGATGCAAAAATGTATATTTTTTTTTTTGGCAGGGGCTGTTCTCTCTCTTTTTTTAAATTAATTTATTTATATATACATACAAAACTGGGGTACAGGACAAAGGTGCAGGGGGTGAGAGCATTCACCAGAGACATAGCAGGGAGCAGAACAAGCTGATGGACTGAAATACACTCCTGAGGCAAGCAGTGGGTGGTTGGGAGAGGTCTGCTGTGCTATGTGGGTCACTGTGCTGGGGATTGAACTAGTGCTGCAGTAGCTACAATAATGTCATAGTGCTTTGATTTAACCTGTTGCACCACCAGGGAGGGCTCAGCTCTTTTTTTCTAATAAACATAGATCTTTTGAATTCTACGTTTTCTTCACAGAAAGAAATAATAATACTATTTATATACAGAAGAGGGCAAATGCTAGGCCTTAATTATTTTCTTGACTTGTGAAGAATACATTATGCATTGTGGAATACAAAAATTGTAGTTGGCTCTTGGTCTTTTGTGGAAGTTGAAAGGTTGGTTTAATAGCAAGTGTTACATTTTTGTGTGGCTGCTTCCCAGAATAGAATCTGTTCTGATTTTAAACCTACCAGATGGCTTTGCTCTCTTGCTTGCTAGGGAGTTCCCAGACCGTTCATAATATGTTCACACTTAAAATGTTTGGACGTGGGCCCCTTCAAAGGCTCTAAAGGGAGGGGAACTTGCTCTGGTGTGCCAGCAACCACACTAGTAAGTCATATTCTCCCCAGAGTGCTCATTCAGACTTTTTAAAAAAGTAAAATGTCTTTTCCCAGAGTTTGTCATCTAGTTGCACTCATGTATGTGCGTGCTCAAGGATGGGTGTTACACTTGTGGAGGGTGGATAGGGGGTGTGGGACAACTGGCACAATTGCTTTACTACAAACCTTTCAATTAGCCTTTCCATTTTTGGTAATTTTTCATTTCTGAGGTTCTACTATGAAGATCGTTACATTTCCACTGCAACTGTTTTTCCTCACTCTGGTTAGTTCCTTCCTTCTATCTTATTCTTGCACATACTTCTGTGTATTTTCAGTCTTCCAGAAATTTGTTGAAACATTTCCCATGCTGATTGCACCCCTTTACTGGGTTTATTCTTTTTTTTTTTTGCTTTCATTTTGAGACATTCTTAGGATGGCTAGGACACTGCACTCGTAGATTGTCTTCCCAATCTCCAAGTCTGAAATAGATTGCTGGTTACCTGTGGAGACCTGCTTAGGTACAGATTCTGTTACAGGGCAGAACCAATGTGAAATGGTTTGGCACTGGGTCCTCATCTGCGCTTAAAACCAACAATTCCCCTGAATGAGAGCTTCCAACATCTTTGTAATCCATTAACCATTATCATGCCCATGAGAAAGCCTTTCCTCCTTGGGGGTGATTTAGGATACATTATGTATGTGCTCTGTTATAATCAGGCTGGACTAATTCTATAAGCATGAGTAGCCATTTATATAGGTTCACTTTCCTATATGGGGCTGGTGAACAAATCAAAACACTTAAACAGAAACCTTTCACCGAATAACCTAAGTTCAGAGAGTGAATCCAGGGATGGATCTGCTTACACTTGATTCTGTGTGCTCAGCATGGTGGCAGGGTCTGCAAATAGCTTGTATTCTTGGTGGTTGAACTTAGATGTGTGCAGAAAGGCGGGCTTTACTCCATTGAAGCCCTGTCACCGCCAGGTTTTTGTTTATTTTTTTATGTGACTTGTTCACGATCATGACTAAAAAAGTCGGACACGTGTTTCTTATTTGGCTTATGAACTTTTGTTTCAGGGATCTAGAAAACAGACATATATCTCTGTATGGATGACTTGATCTTTACATTATAATTAAAATATTATGTCTCCTGATCTTTTATTTTGTGGCTTTCTTTAATTTTAGAACTTTCTAAAACCAGACACTCAGTAACTGGTGTTTTTCTCTTGATTAAAAAAGGATTCACCTTTAACTCTCAGGTTCATGTAGCTTATATTGCATGTGTTGTATTCAAGGATCTTTCTTTAATACATTTTTTTTTCAAGTATCTAAATCAGCTAGACTAGTACCTGTATTGAATAAAGTCACCTATCACACTGATACATGATGTGGCCTTTATTAATTCCAATTGCAGGTATTTAAAGAGTATCTAATTCTCTTACAGGCATCTACTTTGAATGTCAAGGAATCCAGATCATCTGAGAGAACAATTACAGTTGCTGGTCTTCCGGTTGGCCTATTTGATAATCACTTACTGATTACTTTAGTGAAGAGTCACTTCCAAGATATTAAGAATGAGGGTGGAGTTGTAGAAGATGTAATATATCCAACAAGAACCAAGGGAGTGGCATATGTGACATTCAGAGAAAAAAGAGGTACTTCCGAAGCATGTTTGTGCACTTAAAAATATTTCTAAAATGAGGGGCCTCCCTGTTGCACAAGGGGTTAAGAGTCAGCACCATGAAGCTGTTCACAGCCACTGCAGCACAAGTTTGATGTCCCTCCAGGGAACTGACTCAAATGGTGCAGCAGACCTCCCCTGTCTCGCCCACTGCTCCCCTCAGCAGTGTACTTCGTTGATCTGCCTGTTCTGTTCCCTACTGTGTCTGGTAAATCCTCTCACCACCCTTCAACTCTGCCATACACCCAGTCCTTGTATGCAAAACCCCCACAAAATCTTAAAAAAATTTCTAAAAAGAAATTAAAAATTAAACTTGATTAAAGTGATTCATAAGATTGATAAAGTTTAAAGTAACTTTAAAAAATTCTGAGTATAAAATGGTATCATATTAGCAAGAATATATGTGAAAATGACTTATGATAGTGTTGTAATGTCTTTAGGGGTTGGCAATTTTTTTTTTAAAAGATTTACTTATTTATACATACAGAACTGGGGTGCAGGTCAGAGGTGTAGGGATGGTGAGAGGATTCACTAGAGATGGAGTGGGGAGTGGAACAGGCAGATTGAGGAAGTACACTGCTGAGGGGAGCAGTGGGTGGGTCAGGAGAGGTCTGCCATGTGGGTCACCTCCAGGGCCAGGGATCGAACTTGTGCTGAAGTGGCTGTAGCTTCTTAGTGCTGTGCTTTAACCTGCTGCGCCGCCAGGGAGGGCCCCGGGGCTGGCAATTTTTTTAAGGTTTTATTTATTTTTGCATGTAGGCCAGTGGTGTGTGTGGGATGGGGGGGAGGAGGGGGGGAGGTAAGAGGACACAGTTGAGAGCAGAACAGGCAGATCAACTGAAATATACTGCTGTGAGGAGCAGTGGGTGAGACAGAAGTCTGCTTTATCATATGTGGGGTACCCTCCTGGCAGAGGATGGAACTCAAGGCACAGTGGATATTGTGCCGAGACTTAATCCCCAGGCCACCAGGGAGGCCCCAGATGGACAATTCTTGAAGTCTTCTTTCTGTATTTTGAATCTGTCTATATCTGGGGATAAAAGTCATACATTTTATTATAGAAAATTTGTAAAATACAGGAAAAGGAAATAATAACCCACAAAAAATGATCTGTAAAATAACAGCTTTGTGAATTTTGAGGGGTAAAGTAGGACTAAAGATACATGATTTAGAGCTGAGATCAGATGAGTCATTCTATTGTCTACACCTATCCCTGGGAGGAAGCTGGATCTGCAGAGCACATTCACCCTACCAAGCTCATTGGCAGCCCTCTTTACTGTGTAATAACGAGGAGAATACATTGCCAGAGAAAGCTGAGTCTCCGTGCCAGGTTCATGAAGGTGATAGTAACAAGCAGAAGTAGGAGCAGAAGAGACTTTGCTCTGTTTGAGAGAGGACATGACCCAAAGACAGATCAAGAGATTATGGATTATTAGTATGTTTACCTGTCACTGATAGTTTAATCTTTCATTGTCAATGAGATATTTAGGTAAGGATGGCATGGTGGGAAGGATTTGTTTTTGTTTTCTGAAGGCATTCGTAATGTCTTTGGAAGTTTATATTTTATATATTGAATTGGTAACTCACAGAATGAGAGGGTTGTTTCATTTCTTTGTTCACAAATACTTATTGAATACCTGTTATTTGCTAGGTGTTACTCTTGGCTTTGAGGATTCAGCAGTGAATGAAATAGGCAAAATGTTTTCCTTCATGATGCTTTTATCTGTGGGGGTGGAAAGATAATAAGTAATAATATGTTTATATAGTATTTAAGTATTATAAACAATATTAGTTAATATATTATTAAATATGTGGCATAATAATAAATAATGTGTTGGTTTACTTTTATATGTATATACTCATATATTATATTAATATAAAATACATGTGCTATGATAAAATATAAAGGTGAATAAAGGTCTAACTTGTGGTGGAGGGTGCAGTTTTAGATGCATGGGATAGGTGACATTTGAACAGAGACCTGAATGAAGTAAGGGAATAATTGATGAAGTAAGGAGAAGAATATTCTAGGCTAATTGAAGGGCCGGGAAAACTTCTCTGGTAGGGTAGCATGTTTTGAAGAATAGCAAAAGGAAGTCTCTGTGTCTGGACTGGAATGAACACAGGGGAAGGGAAAGAGAGGTGTCTGTCATTTTTTTTTTTTTTTTTACATTTAGAGGGACAGGTTTATTAGGAAAAGAAGAAAGAAAAATGAGAGACACCTGCATAGACACAGATGGGCAAAACAAGGTGGTAGTTTGGATTTAAGAATGTCAAGTCTCCTTATGACAGATTTACTTTTAGGTTTTTGTTTGATCTAGAGATGCCTATTTTCTAAAAAGTATAATTTAGGTCATATATACAAATAAAATGAAATTTAATGTATTAACTAAAAGGGATATCTATATGTTAACTTTAGAGAAAAATCTTATGCTTTCTAAGTAATCAAGGTGAATCGTCATTATTGGTATTGAGATAACTCTTAATGTATTATGCCACCAACATTTCTAATGGCAGTGTTTCCACTTAGTTGCAGAGAATATTATTAGAAAAAAGAAGCATCATCTAGCAAAGAAGATTGGATCTGCTCAACTCACAATCTCTCATTTTGGTGAAAAGGTAAGTTGTGAATCAGCTAGTTATTGCTTGTTCTGTTTTTGTTGTTGTTTTTGTTTCTATACGTGCTATTTACTGCATTTAAAGTGAATGAACTTTTGTACTGTTGTGGATGAGGTTGGGTATCAAGGACTTATTTTGGGGAGAAAAATTAGAATGAACATTAAGAGGGGGACATTCCTGGAGAGTCTGAAAAGATGAAAATAAGAACAAAAGGTTACAATTCAATGCATCGGTTTAAAACTTTATTCTGTAAGAAATTCAGAGTTCTGAACAGCCACCTGATGAGCTTTGGCTTGGAGAGCTGCTCTTTAACTGGCTCCATGCACATGGCAGAGCCAGAACAGTTTATGTCTATGGGTTCTGCTTAAATTTTGCTTCAGAAAAATTCTGTATCTAAAAAGCACTCTAATTTGGGGGATGTGATGAGAATTGTGCATCAATCGAATTGTGGGGTCCCTTTGGTGGACAGCTGTGACACAAGAAATAAGTCTGGGTTAAGTGTTGGGCCTGGTTTAAGTAGCAGCTGTGACTGAGAAAGTGGTAGAAAAAGAATGGGCTTATGCAGTCTCTACTCAGCAGTGCTGTTTTAATTTTTCTCTCTTTGAATTTTAGGTTTTTAGCTCTGTAAATGTGACCCTTGATCTTTCAGTTTTTCGGAGTCAGCACAGCCTAGAAAGCCTGGTAAAGGGCTTGAAAAGGAAAATTCCAACTTTATGCTTCGGTCCTTTGACATCCAGTGGAAGAATCTCCATTCAAGGATCATTTCTGGATTTCAAAAGACTCAAAGAAACTTTGTTACTAAAAGCAAGTTCTCTTTTAGAAGAAAACAGGAATTTTATCAGTGAGGGGGAAAAGTGGAAGGGAGAGAGCCCCAAAAGGAGTCTACAGAGAAGTAATACATCTCTGGAGTCACCTGGACCATCAGTCCCTGAAACTACCAGACATGGAGTAACGCTTGTTCTTGACACAGATATTTTTCTTTATTTGAAAAATAAGCACAGATTTTATGAAAGCACATTAAAAAAATTTCATATGCAATGTAAGGAAATAATAGATGGTGAAATTACCACAATTTGTATAAAAAGTACACAAGATGATTCTGAATCAAACAATGAAAAACAGGTGAAAAAGCTCATTGAAAGACTTTCACATGATCTTCACTTTAAGCTTAGAAAAGAGACATTTATTTTGGAAGGAAAGGAAGCTAGAGAAAAAAGAAGTATCAAATTAGCATGTGAACAGCTACAATCGAGGTACTTTGAGGTTCTAACTAATTTTTATAAGACACACATTGACATTATAGGATCTTCTTCTGACATTTACTTGTTTAAAAAAGAGGTCATGAAATTACTAGGTCAAAAGGTTAGGTTATAAAAGCCCAGTGATAGCAATGATTGTGGCTGCTGCTTTCCCTTATTAATTGATCAGTGATGATAGCATGTATTATATTAGGTTTGCTCACATGATCTCATTTAATCCTTCATTATTGGCATTGATATTGTTATATTATAGAGGAACACAGTAGAACCTAATATATTAAAAACTTGTTTGAGGTTTTCCAGCTAGAAAATGATGGACTGTGTTTAAACCTAGTTGATTTGAATACAAAGATGACATATAAGGTATGAAAATTTGAAGACATCTCACTAAACTGTGACAAAATCTCACTTTCGCTACAGCTTTGAATTTTCAGAAACAAAAACTAGTGAATTACACATATCTTGGCACCATAGGTGCCCTCTGTGGCTAATATAAAAAAAGAAAAACTTAATCTCAAAATCATTGACAAGATTGTGATAATTGAACTGTTTAATCAGTAAAAAGGTGTAGGAAAATCTCTGTATGTGTTGTCATTTTTCTTAGTCATTTAAATTCCAAATATGCAAGCAAGTTTCATTTCTTTAAATACAATTCTTTATTTTTTGTATCAGCGAACACTTTTTTGTATTGTCCTGGAAACTGCTGTTCATATCAAGTGTCTGAAAAATTTCCTTTTATTTAAAAAGACATTTCATTTTTATATCATTATTAGTTTTGTATTAGTGTATGTTCATTCAGGAGATAGATATCACATAAATGAAAAAGAACTATGTTACAATGTAATGAGGAATTGGTTAATAAGTAAAAACAGAGTAAGGAAACCTTTACTGAAATTGGAGTTGGGAAGACCTGTAGAGGGAGCTATTATACATTATTACACCATTATTTCATGGGCTCACCTACTTATTGCATATCCTAATGTTAGGCTATCCTTATGTTCCCAAAAATGACATTACTGATGGCTCAAGGAAGATGTATCCTGTCCTGCAATAGCTCTGCTAATGAGAAGTGCTACTGCACAATCAAAGAGAAGCTGTCACTTCCCCGGGGTACTTACTTTCATTCTATGAATTCTTGTTCAGGACAGCCTTTCCTGCTGCCCCCTTTTCTATGTGAACAGGCACCCCAATATTTGTTTATTTATTTATGGTCTGCCCCAGCATGCATGTTATGAATTTCGATTCTTTGGCTATTTCTAAACAGATTAACTATTTTTGTTTGAGTTGACTTAGAATATGAAGACCCTAAAAATATAAGAATGATAGATATAAATTACAGTTTATGAAGAAGACCCTAAAAATATAAGAATGATAGATATAAATTACAGTTTAGATAGAATACCCAAGGAATGCTTGCTCCTCTCACCCACCTCCCATCATTGTTTTCTGACCTTGCTGGAGCATTTGTGCCAGAGGATCTTGCTGGAAATTTGTCTAGAGTTCAGGAGGAATCTATTAGCAGAAGAGATCTCAAAAAGGAAACTCCATTACAAATGCCTGACATTGTGCACGAGATGGATGAGGGAGCTACTGGTGTTTGGGTTCCGCATAATGCCCTAAAGACACCGAGTGCTCGAAAATCCTTGAGTCCTGGTGCCTGGGCAGTAGAGAAGCTGTCCCTATAGCAGCTACCTGGGGGATACCTCCTTACTAATGGTACTGGATAGATTACAAAGAGCCCACCAACTGGTGAAAGCTGGAATGGGACTCTTCCACTCTTCCTCATCTGATGGCTGTCCAGCGCCCTCTACTGACAAAACTTAACCCTGTCAGCTACAAAGGAAAAAATACTTCAAGGACCCAGACCCGTTTTTATAAAGTTGGGACAGGTTGAATTTGAAGCCAAGTTAATAAATTGCTAAGTGGCAGAAATATTTGATACTTTACAAGGCTTTCGCTGTCAGCTCAAATAGCAGTTCTTTTTTTCTGAAAGGATCAGAATATTGAGGCATACTCTGATCTGATGGACAATAAATATAAATTGATTTACAAGTATAGGCATAGCACCTTCTGCTTGAGATAAGTAGGTACGCAGACATTTTTATGTACTGCCTATTTTAGAGTTTGTTAATATGTTTATAATATGCTATTTGTGTAACAAATTTTCATTCTTAATAAAAACATTTTTGTCAAAAGAGGTGGTGATTTTATTAACATTAACTTTTAAATGTTATTAATGTGCAGACAGGTGATATGAATTCCACACTATTTTAAAGCCAGAACCTGCTGTACGGGTGCCATTGTGAGAAAACCTATCCTTTAATTAGAATAAGTTGATGTTCTTCAAAGAGGCTGCAGGTAATAGGCTGCTATAAAATTAAGAAAAAGATGTAGGAGTTCCAGATCATGTTGGACAAAGGTAAAGAGCAAGAGGAAAGGACTTAACCACCAGGGAAGCTCCTGTTCAGGTTTCTTATCTTCCTTCCCACTGTGTGTAGTCTCTATTCCACACATGAACTTTGTCTTTTTCACTTTATTTTCCCCTCCCCTGCTTTGCCCCCCCCCCTGCCAATAACAGAGTTCTGAGTAAAGTTAAGAACATTCCAGTCTGGAAGAGGGAGGGCCACCAAGGTAAAAAATAATTATGTGGCCTTTTAATGCCATGCTAGACATGTTCCAGTAAACCCACTTGTGGACTAGGGACTACAACTCGGTTTTACATATCACAATTAGTTTGAGCCCAGGCCAGGGACCTGAACCACCTGGCCAAGCCCTATTCAGTACATCTGCCTATTCTGGTCCTCACTTTACCCCACCTCCAGCTTCTGGACTACACCCTGCTCTTGTATATGTAAATACATAACTATTTTAAAAATTCCTGGGAGGCTCTGACCCTCACAGTTGCTTTTATGTGTGCCTCTGTTATATATAGGCAACCCCTGTTTTTCTAAGGTCCAAGTATGCCGCTTTTGACTTTACAAAGCTCAACATTAGTATGTTTTTGCTTACTGAAAGAAATCTGGTTTTACGACAAAAGTCGAAAAGCAAAACCAGCGTTAAGCGTTTATTTTACAGCAGCGGTCAGAGTGCATTTGGAGAAGCGAAGTGTGGTCCCGTCACTTTCTTGGAACTACTTTATGAGGTATGCGTATGTATCATATCATTTCTTTTACTATACATTATTGTTAGTTTAACTTTTATGTGCTGTTTGATGTGATTTGGTAGACTTTTTTTGGGACTGGGAAGGTTAACAAAATTTGCAGTACTAAGTGATGGTAATAGCGTCTTTGCATGCCGCCATTTTGGCTTAAACCAGTTTCATAGAAGGCTCCGTACTTTCGGATGGTATGGAAAACCTGGACTCTTAGATACCCCCTCCTCCTGTGACAGCATTTCATAATACTTTGTTCATTGGTTTCTTTCTTTAAAAAGATTTACTTCAGGGCCCTTTCTGGTGGCACAGCAGTTTAAAGTGCAGCACTATGAAGCTCTCCCCAGCTACTGCAGCACAAGTTAAAAGATTCCCGGGTAGGGAGGTGACTCCTGTAGTGCAGACCTCTACTGTCTCACTCACTGCCCGCCTCAGCAGTGTACTTCAATAGATCTGCCTGTTATGCTTCCCACTCTGTCTCTGATGAATTCTCACTCACACCCGCAAACCTCTCCCTCCCCCCAACCTCTGGCGTGTATCCCAGTTCTTGTAGGCATAAATAAATAAATCTTTAAAATAACCTTTTTTTTTTAAGAAAAATTATTTATTTATGCCTACAAGAGCTGGGGTATAGGTCTGAGGTGGTGTGTGTGTGATAGGATTCACCAGATAGAGAGTGGGGAGCAGAAAAGGCAGATGTACTAAAATACACTGCTGAAAGGAGCAGCAGGTTAGACAGGAGAGGTCTGTTGTGCCATGTGGGCCAACTTCCTGGCTGGGGATCAAACTTGTGCTTCAGTGGCTTGTGATAGCTTCATAGTGCTGAGACTTAACCCTTTGTGCCACCAGGGAGGCCTGTGTTCATTGGTTTCTTATTTTCTTCCCCACTATGTGTGGTCTCCATGCTGGCAGGAACTTTGTCTTTTTATCACTTTATTTTCACCTCACCCCTATATAGTAGTTTGAGTACATAGTAGACACAAAGGCTTATGAAATAGCTGGACCTTTATTTTTTTAAGTTCCCCATGGAATTTAGTGCAGGGTTTTATACTTATTAAGTGTCTAATAAATATATACTCATTGATGAAGGAATTTTCCGGATGTGTGTGTGTGGACTGTTTCCTGCTTGCCAAAATCATAATACTGGTATTAATCTCTCACCTCCTCCTTAGTATGTACCCTTATCCCCTTCATATTATTTCCTCCAAAGTGGAAATAATCCTGTCAAGACAAACTCAAGTAACACGGTATTTTCTTTTATACTCTTGTCAAGCAGGTTGGCTAATAATTGCTCCTGGCAAGGAAAGGACTAGGCATATTTCCTGAAAGTACCAGGATGTTTTACTCCACCTGTCTTGCTCCTGATTGGGTCTTACCAGTCACAAAAAGTCCTCTGTGTTTTAATTACATAGCTATGGAGATTTTCTCTGTCTGTTTACTCAGGTATCTGGCTGTTGTCAGCTATAGGAGGTCAATAGGGTATTCTCAATGGCTATCAGCATCTACTAAATGATGTTTTGAGTTAATAAAAACTTTCAATCAATATAAAACACTATATTGCATGTGTAAATGCATTAAAACTGCCTTGCAGTTAACATGTATACACTAATGCTGTGAAAAGCAACAGGGATATGTGGAATATACCTGCTTTTGATTTTCTATGACACTTAATTTCATAGAAATTAAGGAGGAAATTAGTTCTAACAATTATTTTACAAGAGTATAGACTGAAAAAAATATGGGCTTTTAGGTATGGATGGGAAGAAGGATATGAATACAGTTATTCATGGCTTTGTTATAAGGATATATTCTGACAAATTCACTGTTAGGTGGTTGTATCACTGTGTGTCCATCAGATGACGCAATTACGCACACATAGACGGTACAGTCAATGACACACCAGGCTATCTTTAAAGGCCTCCATCATATATATTTGGTTGACTAAAATATTATTACGCATTGCTTGATTGTGCTACAGAATGTATTTCCCAAAGTTTTGTTGTTGGAGAAATCTGTTTTAAATAAATAAGTGATTTCAAAAGGGGAATAAAAAAAGATAAAATGCAAAGAGGGTAGCATTTTTGATGGATGGGAAGGGTGGGAGGAACAACTTGTTCCTGCTGAATGTAAATGGTTGTCTTAAAATTTACTGAGTATGCCACACCAAGGAGACACCTTATCCCCTTTTTCCTTGACAAAGTGCCTCTTGGAGTGAAAAAAAATCCCAGTTTTCTTCCTATTAGATTGCCAAACACTTTGGATTCTCTCTCTACACCATCCCTTGCATTTGTTTCTTCTTTTCCAGTCTCTGAGTTATTGCAGTTTTCCCCAAACTGACCTTCCTAACTGGACTCTATCTACCTTCATGACCTCAATTTATCCCAAAAGTCACAATTAGATTAATGTGTCTGAAATGATTAGTGGTATTTGGGAGTTAAACTGGCAGGCTGGTGTTAATTGTCCCACCCTGAAATTTCATGGCAGTAGGTATGTGTGTATGTATGTATCTATGTATTTTTACATTTTAAAAGGACAGGTTTCGTAAGAAAAGGAGAAAGGAAATGCGAAGCACTGACATAGTCACAGGTGGGAAAAGAGTTGCTCATGGTAGCATTTAATCTTATGTTCTTATAGCATGTGTTTTCTGAAAGGTTCAGTCTTGTCATGCTCATAAAGATTCAGTATTTCATTACCTACTAATTAATAGTTTCTGGTTTTTTAGTGTCTTGTTTTCAGATATGATATGCTTTCTCTCACAGCAGCTAGAAAATGTTTGCTCACAGGTAGCCAGGACTGTCCCCACTGCCTAAAGACAACGCGGGGGATTTGCAATTGAATATATTACTGACTTGTGACTTTTCGATTTCCACATGTACAAAATGGGAATAATAACTATGATTTCATATGATTTTGTGGTAATAAGATGAAGTCTTCAACATGTAGCTGTTCTTGTCATTCCTATGTCATAGGACAAAGCTGTCCAGTTTAGAGCAAATATATTCCCATTTTGTACATGTGGAAACATTTTCTAGCTGCTGTGGGAGAAAACACTTAAATCATATCTGAAAATTAGACACTAAAAAACCAGAAACTATTAGTTAATGGGTAATGAAATACTGAATCTTAAAACTTTATCTAAATAAGAGAACTCT